CTGTCCCTCCAAGACAACTCAACAGTAGGGACAGCCTGGATGCTTCTCCACCACCTCCCACTCAGCAGGGCAGGAGGCCTGAGATGCAGGGGTAGATCAGCCCCTAGTGGGGCTCATGTGAAGCTGTGGGAAAGGGCCAGCCCACAAGGCCTACTCTGAGGAAGCTCTCCCTCCTCTGGCAGTAGCTCCAGTAGCTGGCAGTCCTCCAAGAAGGGAGGCAGAAGGCTCGGAAGCCTCACGCCCCGATGCTGGGGCCAAAGGGCAGCATAGGGCAGGCACCTAGGCCACTGAAGAGCAGGGCTGACCTGTGCCTCCTGGGCACTGACATAGGTGCTGACGTCCCCGTGTCCCACCAGCCCGCTGCTCCCAGAGGCTTTGCTAAGCCCTGGAGTGGCTCGGCAGTATGGAAAAGCTGTTTCCCTGGGGAAATAAAGCCAGCTTTGGGGACCAGGGGCCTGGACAGGGATGGAATGGGATCTGTCTAGACTCTAAGAGCCAGCAAAGGCGTTTGGAGGAAATCAGGCTGGGTATGAAAGGAAAGGTTCTGGCATGCTGGGATGCCTAAGCCAAGGAGACTTCTAGAAGGGTGGGTAGTGAACAGTAGTGAACCCCTAGACCCTGGCAGAGAGTAAGGGGAGTGAGAGAGGACAGCATTACAAAGGTCTCAGAGAACCACCTCTCCCAGGGAACCCGTGGGCAGATGGGGCATGGAGAGCCACAAGGGGATGTCCCCATGACCTGGAAGCAGGGGCACCCAAGAAGCCCAGGGGCAAAGGGGATAAAGGGGCCAGAGCCACCTCCGATGGCCTGGGCGGGGGTGGGGGACGTGCCCTACTCCCACTGACTTGAGTTGTCTTTTTCTCCCCACCCTACCACATCCCACCCAGTGACCCCAGAAATGCAGGGCCCTGGTAACAATGACAACATAGCATAGTCTCCTTCCCTGCTCCTTCGCCCTCCTTTTTCTTTTTCCTCCTCCTCCTCTTCCCCCTAACCCCTTCCCCATCGGCTTGTGTCCAGACCCTGCCTCACAGTCCTATCAGAAGGAACAGTCCAACCAGTGACTGCCCAGCCCCTCCAAGCACCCCAAGTGCCCCCTCCCCAGAATCTTGCAGTGCATTGTGGGAGTATTTGGGAGCAGGGATAATCCCTCTTCTATACAAATAAAGCCCTGGGAGCAAAAGAGAGCTCAGAAGTGGAGACAGGCTAAGAAGGTGGACCACCCACAGTGAGGCCAAGAGCAGAGGGACCCCTCCCAGGTGCAGACCAGCAAGGTGGCCAGTCCAGCTGGGCAGGGAAAGGCCATAGAGGAGCCCCAGTGGCCACATCCTTAGGTTCACTCTCAAACCCATACAGAGATAGTCACACGGGCACACACACACACTCAGTGCATGCATGCTCACTCACACACACATGCACAGCTCATAAGCCCAGGGCACAGGCCCAATTGGGGGTGCCTCAACAGCAGCCCTATGCCCTCTCTGGAGCCCTAGCATCCCCCATGGCTGCCTGGAGCCCAGACAAGTTTTAGTAAGGATGGAGACCCAGCCCATCTCCACGCCCTCAGCCAAGGGAAGCAGGTACACAGGTTCCAGCAGCACTCCTTCCAGCGCCCCAGACTTTCTTCCCACACTGTGGGAACAGTCCCTGGCACTTTGAGGGTCTCCCTTCACCTCCTGGCCCAGGGAGGACCACCAGCCCCCCCACAATGCACTGCAGCATACCCTCAGCTGTCCCTGCCCGTCTCTGGTTGGACTGTTTGTGCCCGTGAGAAACCCCCTCGGTTTGGCCATGTTGATGCCTGACACAGAACAAAAGCAAGACCTACCAAAACGCAAACAGCTGCAGCAAAGAAAGAGAGATAAAAATCCGCAGCCAAAAGCCAATTCCCTTCCTCAAAGTCTCTTTGGAGGCGAAGGAAGCTCAGCATGCGGTTTTTTCCATTATGGATGTGATAAGAGCGAGACTGGCGCCTCCCCCAGACCATGCATATATATAGCAGTGTGTGTATATATATGTGTGTGTGTGTGTCCGTGTATATGTGCTATACAGCCGTATGGAAGCATATACAGCCACGCCAAGGGACTCACTGCCAACAGAGGACCAGGCCCGGGCAACATATTGGCTATAACTGCCCTCCTCCTGCGATGCTGTAGTCTCCACAGGCCCTGTACCCTCCCTGCCCGTCCCTTCTCTTTGGCTCCTGGACATGGAAATGGCGGGTTTCCTCTTTGCTGGTGTCTCCCCCTCCCTCCAGCCCCCCTCTCCCCTGTCCTTCCAGCCCCGTCAGCTCTGAGCCCCCTGGCCTCCCACCTCCCCAGCCCCCGCCGGATAACCCCCCGTTTCTGTTGCAGATTTTGAGTTCCTGCTCCCCAGCAGCTTTGAGTCTGAAGGACATGTTTTCATTGCTCCCAGGTAGCTTGCGTGTGGCCTTGCTGAGGTGTCCTCCCCTACCCTGAGCGCCCCGGCCCCACCCCCTGCACTGCTGCCTGGAGCTCTGTGTGACTGTTTTCTGTGCAGTGTCATCCCCCGGCCCCCATACATTGCCCGGTATGCACGGCTGTGTGCATACCCAGGCCATGTACCGCACCAGGCAGCAGTGGCCGGCGGCCTCACGGCCCTAGCTCCCACCAGGCCGGGGCAGGAAGTCTCCAGACTCATCTGCTGACTTTCTCTGCCCTCCCAGGCAACCAGGCAGGAGCCCTTCCCGCCCCGGGGTGGCTGTCTGTGGCATGCCCACCCCTTGCCAGGCAACTGCTGCTCTGGTTTGTGGTGTCCTGCCCATCCCCCCAACCCCACACCCCATCGTTGTCCTGTGTCAGTCGGTGTTCATGTGGGTCTGAGGGCTGAGTCAGCCAGAGCCCCTGTCGGCAGTGCCAGGTCTAGAAGTGGTACTTCACTTGGGGGATGGGGGGAGGAGGGCAGGGGCTTTAAGGAGCTGCTCTAGCAAATGAGGAGTCGGGGCCCAGAGCAGGCCCAGGCCTGGACCATCCAGGAGTGCACGCTCAATGTGTACATACACGTTCTCATGCACACACTCTCTGCCTTTGGCCCACATCTGGGGAGGCCGGGTCCCCTGGGTGCTGAAGCCCTTCCATGACGCAGGCTTGGGATGAGGGCAGGTGGGTGGATGCAGCTGATAGAGACCCCAGGGTCACTGGAAGGCAGCACACGGGGGCTCTGGACATGCCTCACCTTTGTGTGTGCACGTATGTGCATGCACCCAGTTTTTCTGTGATTCTTTGTAGATGTGTGTATTTGTGAGTCACCATGTACGTATGTAAGAGTCTGAGCATAAATGTGGGGGTGGCTCTGTGCGTTAGTGAATGTGGGAAGGTGTGAAAAAGCCTGTGTGGCCCACGTGACCCCCGAGAAAGCTCTCTTGAGGGCAGGGACCCTATTTGTTTTTGCCATTTCTGTGTCTGTGGCTCGGGAGAGCTCAATAAATATGTGGAGGGTGAGTGAATGAAGTACCCCACAAATGTGAATGTGCATACTGTGTGTACAGGAGAGTCTGCAAGTGACTTGGTGTATCTCAAGCACAGTCGTGTGGGTGTCACCCTGGGTGTGTCCAGTGTGGCCTCTAGGCATAGAGGTGCAGGCTGTACACTGCACAAAGGCCCTGGGGGCCAAGGAGTGAGTGGGGCCTGAGACCCAGTTCCACATGCCCTTACCAAGCCACGAGCCCTACCACAGCCTGGGAAAGTGGCACATGTTCAAAAACTCCACAGTTAGTGCCATATAGGACAATGAAGCGGTCCCTGGTGGCAGAGGTATGAATGAGGGGTCGGGCAAGAGAGAGAGCTCCACCTATCAGAGTAGAAGGATTGCTCCCAAGACTTCCTAGGCAGCAAGCCCAAGCAGACCCCCCTCACGCCCCACAGCCCCATGTTCTCTCGACCCAGAGCCTGAACGCAGTGAGGGTCTTGAGGGGAGGGGCATTCCAGGCAGAGGGAACAGCCAGTCCGAGGACCCACATGTTCCCACTGACTTCCTGACACCCTCTGTGCTATGATGAAAAAAGCGAGTATCAGAGAGCATGAGTGAGTTACCTAAAGGCACATAGCCAGGAAGAGGCAGGGTGGGGTCTTAGGCTGACAAAAAGCCAGTGTTTGTACCCGGGTCCCACCTGGTGCCCACGGGAATGCTCTAGGGCATACAGGTGGATGAGCTGAGCTGGCCGCCAGGCATTTCCTGGGGCTTCCCAGGTGCACTATCTGGGTCCAGCTACACCAGAGAGATGGGAGGCTCTGTAGAGCCATGCCCAGGAGAAAGAAGCTGCCTGAATGGAGGAAGTAGACCCTCATTCTTTTTTTTTTTTTTTTTTTTTTGAGACGGAGTCTTGCTCTGTCGCAAAAAAAAAAAAAAAAAAGACAAAAAAAAAAACTGAAAAAAAAAAAAAAAAAAAAAAAAAGGCCTCTAGTCATTGGATTTAGGGCCCATACTAATTCAGTATGACCTCATCTTTTT